ACCTCCCAAAGGAGTTTTCCATTTTTTAAGAATTGCATTAACTCTTCAGTTCACTCAGAAGGGCCTTTCCACTCCTGCTGTCACTCCCTGTCTGTGTTACTGGGCAGATGGGAAACCCCGTGTAACAGGCACGAGCTTTTACCTGTGTCATAGATTGTATCCCCACTTGGGGTTGATTCTTTCAGACATTTCTCCTAGTTATTACTGTAATATATGCTCTTTGCAGACAATCTGAAAATAAGTACTTTTAGAGAAGATTAAAATTCCCATAGTCTCACTGCCAATACGCTGTTTGATATACGCCTTTCCTTCTGTGAATACTGTTTTATGGAGCCGAGCTCATGCCACATGTTTGCATTTATGTATTCATACATATGCACGGACATGCAAAGAAGATCTTTGTATCTCCCTTTTCTCCTGATTCTAGCACACATCTCTGTATATTTCAATGAGAATTCTCCATGAACAAAGTTGAGGTTGCCTGTGGTTGCCTAAAAGGCTGACCTACGAACGCTCCATAATTTAATTCACTGGACCAGTCCCTTCCTGTTAACACTTCGACTGTCAAAGCTGCTTCCAGCATTTCAGCATCACACAGAACACTGCAATTAACTTGAATTTGGTGGCTTCAAAATAACAGCTTTCCTAGATACACCCACTAGGTAGAGTGGGATGCAGTAAGATCTTACACATGACTGCTCTCTCTTGGAGAATGCAAGAGTCAGTAACTACCTGAGTCTCCACGAACACAGCCATGTCCGTGAACATCTCATGCAACTCTCGGATGCTGGTCTCCAGCTTCATGATGTCCTTGTGACGCGACTCGATTTCATTGAGAGCTTGTCTAGTAATTTGTGAATCTGATATAATCTTGGAAAAACAAAAAGAAAAGAGAATATTAATAAACTGACGATGGGTTTGGGAGTTAAAGGGTTTTTAGAAAGCTCTGTCTACAGAAGAGGATATGGAGCCACAGGGCCGTGCCCCCACTCACGTCGGAAATGAAGATGGACGGCTTCCCGCTCTCCAGCATCTCTTCCAGCTCGTCGTCTGTGGTGGTTCTCCCAGCTGAAAGACCCGCAACCACAGCCCCACTCAGAATGCAGCACAATTTAAAAACAAGGCCGTTGGCAACCATAAGTTAGCAACTACAGTCGTAGTTGTTAGCATTTTCCAATAATTTTTTTAAACCTTTTCTTAAGCACATATTGACAATGAGAAATGAACCAAAGATTGAGACGCAGGAAGAACTAAAAACACTCCAAAAAACTTTATGTTACGAACAACACAATTTCATTTTCATATTAGTGAGAAACAACTGCAGGAAGGAAATCGGTAAACAATGTTCTGGCACACTGGTTTCCCTAAGAGTTTAACCCTGCCTCATGTGAAAGGGGGTTAAGCTGAATGTAGCATGTACTAAACGGGGATCAATAAAGTCTATGTAATGAGAGTCAGAAGCCCGAACACTTTCCGTGTTCTGAGAGGGAGGCTTGCTCTGTAGCCCAGGCTGGAGTGCAGTGGCGTGACCTTGGCTCACTGCAACCTCTGCCTCCCAGGTCCCGGTACAAGCAATTATCCTACCTCAGTCTCCTGGGTAGCTGGGATTACAGGCACGCGCCACTATGCCCAGCTAATTTTTGTATTTTTAGTAGAGACAGGGTTTCACCACGTTGGCCAGGATGGTCTTGAACTCCTGACCTCATGATCCGCCCGCCTCGGCCTCCCAAAGTGCTGGGATTACAGGCATGAGCCACCGCGCAAATGTGTAATGACTTCTAAGAAACATGTACACAGGTTTTTGGAAACCTAACTGTTAATTACTATTTTTCATAGTTTGTGCCACAGAAAACAAAAGAAAATGAATAAATGTCATAATAATTCAAATGTCATCTAAGAAGCAGCATTATTCATAATTGCCAAAAAGTGGAAACAATGCAAACGTCTGTCCCCCGATCCCTGTGGGAGCAAACTGCGGTCTAGCCACATGCTGACGCACAATTCAGCCACAAAAAGAAAGGATGCTTTGGGGTTTTGTTGTTTTGTTTTTTGAGACAGGGTCTCACTCTGTCGCCCAGGCTGGAGTGCAGGGGCACAACCACAGCTCACTGCAACCTCTTCCTCCTGGGTTCAAGCAATTCTCATGCCTCAGACTCCTGAGTGGCGGGGACTACATGGGTGCGCCACCACGCCCAGCTAATTTTTGTATTTTTTGGTACAGGTGGGGTTTCACCATTTTGGCCAGGCTGGTCTCGAACTCCCGACCTCAAGTGATCTGCCCACCTCAGCCTCCCAAAATGCTGGGATTACAGGCGTAAGCCACCGTACCCAGCCTGGGTCTTACTCTGTCATCCAGACTGGAGTGTAGTGGTGTAATCTCAGCTCACTGCTGCCTTGACCTCCTAGGCTCAAGCAATCCTCCTGCCCCAGCCTCCCAAGTGACTGAGATTATAGGCACACACCCCATGCCTAGTTTATTTTTTAATTTTTTTTTGTTTGTTTGTTTTACAGACAGGGTCTTGCTATGTTGTCAAGCTGGTCTTAAACTCCTGGCCTCAAGTAATCCTCCCACCCTGGATTCCCAACCAACGTGTTGGGATTAGTATACATGTGAGCCACCACATCCTACCCACCCCATGGTGAAACCTTGCAAAAACTGTGTTACAGGAAAGAAGTCAGTCACAGAAGAACACATAGTGTATCATTCCGTTTATATGAAACATCCAAAATGGGAAAATGTACAGGGCTAAAAAGTAGAATGCAGTTGCCTTGGGCTAGGAGAAGAGGAAACGCAGAGTGACTGGTGGTGGGTGTGAAATTTCCTTTTGGTGTGATAAAAGTGTTCTAAAATTGATTGTGTGTGGAAATATACCAAAAACCACTGAATTAATTGTATGCCCCAAATATCATTCACATATTAAGAGATTTACTTCTAAATAAAGTGGTTGAGATGTCACTTAATGAAAAAAGTTTAAAGTTAGTAAATTGCAAAATTTGTTTACTTACACTGTTTTTTGGGA